TTGTCCCACTATCATGTTCAGCCTTCATTTGGGTTTCAGTAATTCCTCTCAGTTACATTACCCTTGGTCACACCCTACCAGGCCTCCTACACCCTCCTCACCACTGATTTAGATTGATTGTTGTTCCCTTGTCCCTGGGTTTGTTAACACCACTTCCTTTCCCCCCACCTCCCCCTCTCCCATGTCCCGCCGGAACTGTCAGTTCTGTTTTCTCCTCCAGATTGTTCATCCAGCCCATCTTATTTAGACAGACCTGCGAGGATAATAACATGCACAAAAACAAGGCAGAGCAAAACCAAGCAACAAAATAAAACAACAACAACAAACCAGTGTCAAAAACAAAACAAAATACAACAAGAATGAAAAGCTTGTAGTTAGTTCAAGGACTGTTTGTTGGCCTTTAGGAGTTTTCCGGTCGAGTCTGTTGGGGCACCAAGCCCTGGTCCCAAAGTCTGTTTTTGGTGTTCCCTGGGGACTTGGTGTTTTGCCTCGGTGTGGTGGGGTCAGTTCGGGTGGTGGTGTCATATTTTAGACTTATTGCCAAATAGAGAATCATGAATATTAGCTCTTATTTTCCTTCATTGTTGAAAATAGGTTCGAAGCATTTTATTTATGTATTGTTCAAGAGTTTTATAATTTTAATGCTTATATTTAGTCTGTTGATAGATTTGAGGTAATTTTTATATATCTGAGGTAGTAGTGCTCTAATTTCTTTTATGATTGGCTATCTAGTTATTTTCAGCACCATTTGGTTAAGAGACTCATCATCTTTCATTCACTGATCTTGGCATCCTTGTCAAAGAATCATTTGGTTCTATGAGTTTATTTTCTATTTTCTTAGTTCTGTTGATTGGTCTTAAGCCTTTATCATACTGGTTTTGTGATTATTTTGAGGTAAGAAATTGGAAGTGTGAGGTCACCAACTCTGTTATTTTTCTTCAAGACTGTTTTGACTGTGAGGGCTCCCCCACTCAGTAATTGTCTGCAGGACTTGAGGATATTATACAAAGTGTCAATTGTTGCTACATTTATATTTTATGTGTGGCATTACATTTAATCCATAAAGCAACATGTGATGTAAGCAATGGCATTTTTCTTCTCAAGGATGAGGACTGAGCCTGTAAGTGGAAAGTCAACACTGTAGGACTTTAAATCATGTGGGCATTCTGCTGTATCACATATAAGATATTATTTGACATTTCAGGATTGCCCATGCATAATCAAGTTTTGATTATTGAAACCTAGTGTGTTTGTAATAGATTACTGCACAAATGCATTTATTTAATTAATTTTTTTAAAAATTTAATCATTCTATTGGGGGCTCGTACAACTCTTTATCACAATCCATACATCCATCCATTGTAACATTTCTATCCACTATAGAATCTGTGATCTTGCTTTTGAGGTTTGTTTTTATTTTTATTTTCTTTCTTTTTAGTGTAAATAGTATTGTTCTCATACTTTAAAGAAAGTTTGTATTACACACAACACAGTAGTTTCTTTACTTTCTATGTGCACGATTCAATGATGTTGGTTATATTCTTCCCGTTGGGTAATCATTTTTGCAGTTTTTCCAAATTATTTCCCACCACTGACATACCTTTAATAATCTCTAAACAAAATGACGACCCCTCTCAGCTCCTGCTTATCACTAATTACTTTTGACTTCTTTCTCTTTTAATTTTTTTAATATCCTGTCAGTGATAACAATACCTATTTGCCCCTCCCTTTGTATCTGGCTTTCTTCACTCAGCACAAAGTCCTCAGAGTTTATTCGTGTTGTAGTATGCGTCTGAATTTCATTATTCTTTTTTCTTTTTTTAACAGTTTTATTGGCACTTAGTCCATATATCATACAATTCAATAGTTTAGTTATATCAAAAAGAGTTGTACAATCTTGGCCACAATCAAATTTTAGAACATTTTCTCCCCCGTGGTTAAATAATTTTTTTTGCGTTATGAAATTATGTTTTTTATTGTTAATTTAATGTTCATATCAAGAGGTCATTATGGGAAGCATGGTTAAAAATATAACTATTACTTTAAAATGGACTCTAAAATGTCTTAGAAAATATATTTATTACCATTGACATTGGAAAACCTTACACTAGAATGACATCTCCAATAATACATTAGTATCCTTTCCTTTATCAGTGTTCTTACATGCATTGAACATTACATGGAGAGATCATTTCTTGCGTTTCCATCTGCCATTTTCAAATTATTAATTGAACTTAAATACAGCTATTTTTATCTGTTACCTTTCTAATTTGAAATGGATAGGTATGCAATACCTGATCTGATTTTTTTTAATTGTTGCAATTTCTCAAATTTAAAAAATGAGTTGTGTAATCACCATCAGTTCTAGTGAGTGCTCCCTCCCACATACATTGTTTGCTTCCCTAACCCCCTTACCTTCCCTATCTCCCTCATGCCTCTTTATGGCTGAGTAATATTCCATTGTCTTAATAGTTTTTATGTGTTTTACTTAAAGAGTTTACATTTTTTTTCAGTTGACCATCTCCTTTATTGATTTAAGTACATTGGTTATACTTCTATATTGGAAACAAATAGAGATGATTCACATTTTTACATGATCCTATCTCGTCACTCTGTAGTTATGCTGTGTTTCTTCTGAGGGGTTACTACTCCAAGGCATCCAGGCAGGTCGTTTGGGTCAGAATTTGGAAGGAAAGCAGAGCAAGGCATTTGTCTGTATGGAGGTGAGAGAAGGAAGATATTAGTGAGAGTGAACTTTAAGAGAATGAAAGTAGGGGAAAGAGAACTGAGCATTTCATGTTCCTCAATGAAGAAAGCGGTAAATAACCAAAGACATAAAACTAAAGATTTTTGGTAATCAAAATGCAAGGAGAGACCACAATAATGATAATTGCTAGAGGGAAATTAGAATCGGCCAGAGAATATAATTAGATATGATTTGTAACATCCTAAGACACCTTCCAGAGAAAAGGTTGCTATGTTTGTCTAAGGTGCCTCTGAGAACCTTAGGTTTCTAATGCCTCCAGATTTCTTCAGAGCAGTTTCTCAACTGCATTACTGTTTTCATGATATTTAACTCAGAATTCAATCTTTTTTTATGTTGTGAGAGTAAGAATATGCAGTTTGGGAGTATGTATAAATGATAAGGCTTCTTAGAATCAACAGGTTAAATGCTCGTTCTTTTATACACATTATAATTATATTATAATAACTAAAGTCAACCACATTTCATTATTTCCTCAAATTCATTATTTTTGCTTGTATGATATGTACTTTTTCCCTAGCAGGAAGAGCTATTATTGTCTGGACTTATGTTTTGCAGGAACACCTTTGTCCTGGAATATTGTGGTGAGGTGCTTGATCATAAAGAGTTTAAAGCCCGGGTGAAGGAGTATGCACGAAATAAAAACATACACTACTACTTCATGGCCCTGAAGAATGACGAGGTGAGCAGCATGAATGTGTATTTGGTTTTGCAGGTTGATTTTGAAAGGATTGTTGCTACTGACTAATGTTATTAGTTGGAAGAATAAAAAGGGTAGAATTCTATACATTCTTAGAGGGGAACAGGGACAATTTGTGGAAAACTGGAATTGAAAGATAGTATCTTTACACAAACTTTTTGAAATTCTCTCAAACATGCTTCATAAATGCACAGGACAGAGGTTATCAAATTTATAGGTCGGGAGCCCTTTGTAATTCTTCAAAATTATTGAGGATACCTGAAGAGCTTTTGTTAGATTTATCAATATTTACTGTATTAAAAATTAAAACAAAAAAATTTAAAAAGAAATATTCATTACATTTTGACAAACCCTCCACTATTTGTCTTAAAAGAATTCGTTTATATATATATATCAACCTGTTCATTATTATAATGATCATGCAGCTTCTGGAAAACTGCACTGTATGCTTCACTGCTCAATTGTGAAAGAATAGGAGTGAAATGGGAGACAGCATCTTAGTGTAATGCAGATAGTTTCAATCTCATGAACATTTGAAATTACCTAAGGAATTCTGATGTCTGGGAGAACCTCAGGGGGAAAGTTGTAAGTCTGGGATGGAAGGTGCCCTTACTTATCATGCCTTATTACACTTTTTAATTTGTTTATAATTTGAATACATTACTTATTAAGAAATGACTTTACTGAGAGTACCTTTGATAGTCTAAATTAATAAGTCATTTTAAAAAAAGGATATTGCTTATTAGGAATAAGAGTAGATCATGAGCCCTGTAGAAATTGGCAGCAAATAGTTAGCACAAAGGGGACAGATAGTCTGTAATTGTGTGTTGAAAAATTATTTTATTAGGGGTATTACAATTAGATCTTAGCTAAGATGAAATGTAAATTTGCATATTTGTCAGCACTAATAAAGAGAAATTTGAAATGGTCATAATACTTAGGAATGTAGTTGTTTCTTAAACTCAGTCTTTTCTGGATTGTGTGACACATTACCCATTTATGAGATTTAATAATTTTTCTGAAGATTTTCTGGGAAAATTTAAATCTTTTCAGTCAATAAGTCTTAATATTTAAACAATATTTCCTTGATTGTAGAACTTTTTTATTAAGTTGTACAATTAAAGCAAACTGATAAGAGACAGTGGTTAGTTGTTATTATTGAAGGTTGGCCATGTGTAACACTCAGCTGATAGGTTTATATAAAGACATCTAAGTGAAAGAATCCAACTTTCTGCATTGCTTTTCTTGTTAAATGGATGTAAAAAGAGTTTAGGAAGGTTATCTTTAGAAACTGTTAAAAGATTTAATGATACTGAAAACAAAATCCAGCTTTAGAAGAGGCTAACTCCTTTGCAATCTTACAGTGATTGAGAATTGGCAGCCCTGGTGGCTCAGTGTGTTACTAGGCGTTAGGTTGCTAACCAAAAGGTGAGCAGTTTGAACGTACTAACCACTCTATGGGAGAAAAACAAGGCTATCTCCTTCTGGGAAGATTTGGCGTTGGAGACCTATGGAACAATCCTGCTTTGTTCTGTTGGGTTGCTGTAAGTCAGAATTGACTTGATGGCCCTGAGGTTTTTATCATGTCCTTTATGTATCATGAAAATATGTACTCTGAGTAAACCAAAGCAAAGGGTTCCAAGATTGTACTCTTCAGGTTGATTCTGACTCTTAGTAGTAACTATCAGATAGAGTAGAACTGCATCTGTGAGTTTACAAGCCTATAAATCTTTACAGCAATGGAAAGCCTCCTCATTTCCCCAATGTTCTCTTAGTAGCAGATATAATTTGAACTGTAGACCAGCAATCACATCTTCACTTGGAAACTTGTTAGAAATGTAAACTTTAAGGACTTACACCAGAGGAGGAGCCTGATGGGTTCCCTCTTCTCCCCACCTTCCCCTACCCTCCTGATACCTCTACTTCCATTCCTGTTCCTGGATTCCATGTGTCATGAGCTCTTATCTCTTATCCCTACCTCCTCTGGTCTAGCCCGGAGTTAAAAACAGGACTGGGGTCCTGATAGTGGGGGCGTGAGTAAGCCTCAAGGAACCAGAGGAATATTGCGTATTTCATCGGTGCTGTACTGTGTCCTGGTTGACTCATCCCTTCCTGTGATCCTTCTGTGAGGGGATGTCCCCTTGTCTACAGATGGGTTTTGGGTATTGGTAGTGAGTTTTGCATTTACCCCAAATTTGCTAACTCTAACTCTGTGAGTAGGTCCACTAAGAGTTTCAGCAAGATACATGCACATGTTGGAGAGTTACTGTGCTATGGTGTAATATGCAATCTCACACGAAGTGAGATTGAAATGCAATAATAGAATGCAAGGAATAGCTAAAAAAATGAAGAAGACATTGATTAGGTGAGGAGGTAATTTTACCTGTAGGTTAACTGTTAATAGTAAATATTCCAGAGAAAGCAGCGACATGGTCACTTTAATGTATCAAGCAGTATCAGAGAGTTCTCTAAATTCTCTGAAGCAGAGGATGTTTTCTATATGTATGTACATGATAATATTTAACTGTTTATTTTTAGGTCTTATTTTTTAACTCTTTAGTTATCTCTTTCCCCACAGATAATAGATGCAACTCAGAAAGGAAATTGTTCTCGTTTCATGAATCATAGCTGTGAGCCAAACTGTGAGACCCAAAAAGTAAGTCGAAGTAGATTTAGAATTGGGGTTATTTTTCAAGATTGTTATGCCTGACCATTAACTTTAGATCTAGTATCAAAAGAACAAACGAACTTCACTTTCAAGCATTTTTCTATTTATAATTAAAAGAATCATTTTATTGGGGGGCTCATACAACTTTTATCACAATCCATACATCCATCCATTGTGTCAAGCACATTTGTTGCTATCATCATTCTCAAAACATTTTCTTTCTACTTGAGCCCTTGTTATCAGCTCCTCATTTTTCCCCTCCCTTCCCCACCTTCCCTCCCTCATGAACCCTTGATAATTTATAAGTTATTATGTTTTTGTCATGTCTTACACTGTCTGATGCCTCCCTTCACCTAATTTTCTGTTGTCTGTCCTCCAGGGAGGAGTTTATATGTAGATCATTGTGATCGGTGCCCCCGCCCTCCCCCACCATCCCCTTATCCTCCTGGTAGCACTACTCTCATTATTGGTCCTGAGGAGTTTATCTGTCTTGGATTCCATGTGTTTCCAGCTCTTATCTGTACCAGTGTACACCCTCTGGTCTAGCCTATCTATTCTTTTATTTTTAAAGAATTATTTTGAAATTAATTTAGATTTATATTAGAAGTTGGAAAATAGTACAGAATTCTCAAATACCCTTCATTTAGCTTCCCCAAAGCTTAACATTTTACATAACCCTAACATAATGGTTAAATCTAGGATATGATATTAATTATTAATTGCTCTAAAGAAAAGACAAAGTTCAAATTTTGCCCCTTATCTCCTTCATATCATTTTTCTGGTGCAGGATCCAAAACAGGAACCTGTATTAAATTTAGTTGTCACATTTCCTTGCCCCTTAAAATTTGATATTATTTCACATGGGTCAAAATGCAAAGCTAAATTTTAATTTTAACAAAATCTAATGCTTGCTGCCTTATTTGGATTTTTTTTTTTAAAGTTCTTTCATGATTGCCAAATCTGATTGTTTTAATAATGCTCATAGGTGCTTAACTGGTCACAGATGGGTGGGGATTGGGAGGTCACTCCTTAAGGCTTTGAATCTTGCTTATCTTTGTGGTCTTGGTCCTGGCACAAATTGATAAATCCATTTATTGAGTTTGAGACAATAATCTTAATACTCCCCAGTTTATGTTTTGAGTTTTACACACACGAAATGCTGTGTGGAAATGTGTATAAAATAGCAGTTGTTTTTATTAGGGACTTTTTTTTTCATCTTCACTTTAAAAAAAATCATTTTATTGGGGGCTCATACAACTCTTATCACAATCCATACGTACATCTATTGTGTAAAGCACATTTGTACATTTGTTACATCATTTTCAAAACATTTGCTCTCCACTTAAGCCCCTGGCATCAGCTCCTCATTTTTATCCCCTCTCTCCCCGCTCCCCTATCACTCATGAGCCCTTGATAACTTATAAATTATTATTTTGTCAGGGACATTATTTTATAGATATATTCAGTCTGGTAATTCATTATAAATAAGTTTACTTAGGTAAGAAATTTCCTATTTGCAATTTGGAAACCTTTTATTGCATAAAGACATGCATAATTAAGACTGATTTTTTTTTTTAAATCATTTACTAATTTCTTTTCTTTTAAAAAAAATACCTCAGTGGACTGTGAATGGACAACTGAGAGTTGGCTTTTTTACCACCAAATTGGTTCCTTCAGGATCGGAGTTAACATTTGACTATCAGTTTCAAAGATATGGGTAAGTGCTGTTTTTGTTTTGGATGACAAAATAGGCTCAACTTGAATATAAAAATAAAAAGTGTTGTAATTACTTAAAAGTTGTATTATCATTCCGTACCCATGGCATACTGTTTTGTTTGTTGTTGTTTTTCTACTCCTGGCTACTAAGGGATATTATTTAGGAAACTATTTAAGTTCCTCCGAACTTTGTGTTCTTGTATTTATAGAGTTGTATTACTAAGTTATTTTTTAAAGCTTTTCTTATCTTTTTGGAAACAGAGCGCCATCTCTCTTTCATGGCCCATCTGTTGGGTTGGAACCACCAGCCTTCCAGTTTGCTGCCGAGTGCCTAACCAGTTTGCAACCAGGTTCCTTGAGATAGTTAGAATTGGAGAGCACCAATTAATGATTTAGAAAAATAATTGGAAATAAAAAAGGAAATTATTTAGCCTGCCTTTGTCATACTACTTTAGGGTAAACCAAATAATTGCTGCGTGAGGAAGTCCTGTATAGAGACAGTACCATTGTAAATGAAATGTTGATGATTGGGTTATTTTTCAACTCCAGATGAACTAATTTTATAGGATAAAAAGAAAACCTTATACAAGGTGGCTTGACACAATGACTAACAATGAGCTCAAGCATACCAATTGTGAGGAGAGCACAGGATCAGTCAGTGTTTTGTTCTAATGTACATAGCTTTGCTATTAATTGTAACTGACTCTACTACACCTGACAACAGAGATAATAAAAGAAGCTTTGCAACAGATTTGCCTACTTCGACATACGGTATTTGATTTCCTGACTACTGCTTTCTCCATGGGCATAGAATGTGGATCCAAGTAAAATGAAAGCCTCAACAACTTCAATATCTCTGTATTATGAAGTTAGTTATCGGTTCAAAGATGTCACTTTGAGGACTAAGGTGCAACTGATGCAAGCCATGGTATTTTCAGTTGCCTCATATGCAGGTGAAAGCTAGATTGTGAATAAGGGAGATCAAGAAAGAATTGATGCTTCTGAATTACAGCGTAGTCCAAAAATATTGAAAGCATTATTGACTTCTAGAAGAATGAATCAACAATGCCTCAGTAGTGCAGCTAGCATGTTCCTTATAAATGAAGATGGCAAGACTTTGTCTTGTGTCCATTGGACATATAATCAGGAGGGTGCAACCTCTGGAATAGGAAGGACATAATTCTTGGCATACGAGAGGGTTAGCAAGAAAAAGAAAAGTCAGACCCTCAACATGGATTGACATAGTGACTGCAACAGTAGAATCAAACATCGCAAAGATTGTGAGGTTTAGTCAGTGTTTGAATCCATTGTGCATAGATGGGCCACTATTAGGACTTGACTCAACAACTATGATTTATTACTGGCACCCAGCAACAGTTATCTATTTAATGACTTTTATTCCCTTCACCTCCCATACCTGTTAACCATCAAAGAATGTTTACTTCTACATATAAACCTATTCTAGATTTTTAAGTAACTGAAAACACAGATGGGAGCATATGCTTACTGTTGAGCTGCTAACTGCAAGGCCGACAGTTGGAAACCACCAGCTACTCTTCAGGAGTAAGATGAGACTCTGTACTCCTGTAAAGATTTACAGTCTCAGAAACCCATAGAAGTATTTCTGCTCTGTCATACAGAGTCGCTATGAGTGGGAAATAGTAGTCTATGTTTGTCCTTTTGTGATTGACTAATTTCACCAAGTATGATATCCTCCAGATTCCTCCATGTTGTGAGATGTTTTGTAGATTCATCATTATATATTATTGAGTATTATTCCATTGTATGTATGAGTGTACAACAATTTACTCGTTTATCTGTTGCTGCTATGGTTGTTTCTGTCCTTGTTTGGTCAATATGCTCTAGTGAATATGAGTTTCCATATAGCTACTTGTATCACAATCTTTATTTCTCTGGGATATAGTCCTAGAAGTGAAGATTGTGGGATTGTATTTTTATTTCCAGCTCAATATGATTTTCATAGTGCTTGTACCATTTTTTAATTCCATCTGTAGTATATGACTTCCAGTCTTCCCAGACCCTTACATATTACCTATTGTCTAGGTTTTTTTGGGTTTTTTTAGGTTTCTTGCTTGTTTTATTTATTTGCTTTGTTTTTAAATCAGTATGCTATTGCTGTGGCATGATGGTATTTCATTGTAGTTTTGGATTTGCCTTTCTGAAGGATCCCTGATGGTATAGTGGCTTGCACATTGGGCTGCTAATCATAAGGCCAGCCGTTTGAACCTGCAGCCACTCCATGGGAGAAAGATGAGACTTTTAGTTCCTATAAGGATTTGCAGCTTCAGAAATATAGGGATCCCTTCTTACTTTCCCTATAGGATTGCTATGAGTAGAAATGGACTTGATGGCTCTGGACTTGGGTTTTGAGGCAGGAAAGGAGTCCGGGTGGCATTGTCAGGTAAGTGTCGGGCTGGTAACCACATAGTCAGTGTTTTAAATGCACCAGCTGCTCCAAGGGAGAAAGACCAGGCTTTCCATTCCCATAGAGATTTAAAACCACAGAAACAGTAGGAAGCACGTCTACTTTGCCCTCTAGGGTGGTCGTTATGAGTCATATTAGACTTGATAGCAGTGGATTTAATGACTAATTGATAACAAGAATTTTTTTCATGTGTTTGTTAGCCACCTGAATATCTTTTTTAGTGATTTGTTTGTTCATGTCTTTGACTACTTTATAATTATAGTGAATTTCTTGTTTTTTGAGGTTTTCTATGAACTTTAGAGATTAGACCCTTGTCAGATAATATCATGGCCAGATTTCTCTTTCCCCATTCTGTAGGTTCTCTCTTTATTCTTTTGGGGAAACTTTTTGATGACCACAAGTATTTAACTTTTAAAAGGTTCTCAGTTGGTTTACCTTCATGAATTGACTTTTTCAGTAAATTGCATGAAAAACAAAGATGGGATAGTGATCCCAAAGATTATTAAAAGACATAATTGTGCTGTTTGCGACTTGTTTAGATTAAATGAATTGGTTAATTGAGTGACTCAATATTTGAAAGAATAGGGAATATGCAAGTATTTAGTGGATTGTTATTAAGCCTTGAGGACAACATTCCTGCTCAGAGCAGCCAGTCCACAGAGAAGACCACATGGCTGGCCCCACTATGAGATACGACATCCCTTACTAACCCATAGGCCTACAGGGGATAACACTGGAGACAATGTGTGGGAATTCCACCCTGTCTGATCCCACCACATGGAGACAAAACACTAAGGGCGTGGAACAGAACAGCAAGGGGAACAGAGCAACAAAGTCCCCAGGGAACACCAAAAATAGACTTTGGGGCCATGGCTTGGCGCCCCAACAGACTCAACCGGAAAACACTCCTAAAGGCCAACAAATAGTCCTTGAACTAACTACAAGCTTTTCGTTCTTGTATTTTGTTTTGTTTTTTGTCATTGGCTTGTTGGTGTTGCTGTTGTTGTTTTGTTATATTTTGTTGCTTGGTGTTTTGCACTGTCTTGTTTTTGTGCATGTTATTATCTCTGCAGGTCTGTCTAAATAAGATAGGCTGAATGAACAATCTGGAGGAGAAAACAATGGGACCGACAGTTCCAGGGGACATGGGAGAGGGGGAGGCAGGGCGAAAGGTAGTGGTGTTAACAAACCCAGGGACAAGGGAACAACAAGTGATCCAAATAGATGGTGAGGAGGAGGGTGTAGGAGGCCTGGTAGGGTGTGACCAAGGGTAATGTAACCGAGAGGAATCACTGAAACCCTAACGAAGGTTGAACATGATAGTGGAACAACAAGAAAGTAAAAGGAAATAGAGGAAAGAGCTAGGAGGCAAAGGGCATTTATAGAGGTCTAAATAAAGGCATGTACATATGTAAATATATTTATATATGAGGATGAGGAAATAGATCTATGTGCATATATTTATAGGTTTAGTATTAAGGTAGCAGATGGACATTGGGCCTCCACTCCCTCAATGCAAGAATAGTTTGTTCAATTAAACTGGCATTCCATGATGCTCACCTTCCTGACACAATCACTGAAGACAAAGCAGGTGCATAAGCAATAAGCAAATGTGAAGAAATTGATGGTGCCCAGCTATCAAAAGATAATAGCGACTGGGGTCTTAAATGCTTGAGGTTAAACAAGCGGCTATTTAGCTCAGAAGCAACAAAGCCCACATGGAAGAAGCACACCAGCCTTTCTGATCACGAGGTGTCGAAGAGATCAGGTATCAGACATCAAAGAACAAAAAAAATCATATCATTGTGAATGAGGGGGAGTGCAGAGTGGAGACCCAAAGCCCATCTGTAAACAATTGGACATCACCTTAAGGAAGGGTCGGGGAGGAGACGAGCCAGTCAGAGTGCAGTATAGCAACGATGAAACATACAATTTTCCTCTAGTTCCTAAATGATTCCTCCCCACCCACTATCATAATCCCAATTCTACCATGCAAATCTGGCTAGATCAGAGCATGTACACTGGTACAGATAGGAACTGGAAACACAGGGAATCCAGGGTGAATGATCCCTTCAGGACCTGTAGTAAGAGTGGCGATACCGGGAGGGTGGGTTGGAAAGGGGGAACTGATAACAAGGATCTACATATAACCTCCTCCCAGGGGGACAGATTACAGAAAAATGGGTGAAGGGAGACATCAGACAGTGGCAATATATGACAAAATAATAATTTATACATTATCAAGGGTTCATGAGGGAGCGGGGAGCAGGGAGGGAGGGGAAAAAATAAGGATGCCAGGGGCATAAGTGGAAAGCACGTGTTTTGAGAATGATGAGAGCAATGAATGTACAAATGTGTTTTACACAATTGATGTATGTATGGATTGTGATAAAGAGTTGTATTAGCCCCTAAAAATGAATTTAAAAACAAAACAAAATAAATTATTAATTTCTTAATAAGATAAATGACTTCTAGAGATGTGTCACTGAGGTTTGCTTTAAAATAATCTGGGATAGAGAATAGGTTGTGAGTGTATAAGATGAAAAAAAGATTGACCCTGAATTGATAAATAATCAAAATGGAATGATAGATTCATTATCTTATTTTCTCTATTCTTTCGAGTGTTTGAAATGTTCCTCTACTTGAACATTTGAAAAAGTCAGTTAAAACTATTGTACGCTGATAGACAAATATTAGATCAGTCAGGTCTTTGTGATTGAATGCTGACCCAATCTCATAGCCCTTAGAGCAAGTGGTGTCACTTCTACCCAACGGTGCTTTCAATAGACTATTTTTGTTTTTTTCCTCTCCTAAATTATCTTTTCATCTTCTTTGGGTTACAAGGACCAGTTTTACATGAGATGATTTCTAACTAAGAAACTGTTATGTAAGGGTGAAAAAAGGTGTTTAGACTAATGAGTACCACAGATGCAGAGTCTAAGGTTTAGTGTCTGGAAGTGGAATTGTTTGGAATACTGTTGCACATGTATGCTTTGTATCTGAAAACTTAGTGAGCTCTGAGGTTCTTTCCACTCTGAATGTGATTATCTGATTATGCTCTAGTACAAATGCCAAATGTTTAATTTCCATTTTGAATATCTGGAAAGGATTGACCTATGTTGAAAGGCTGAGTCTAGACCAAGTTCATTGTAGAGCATACAGGACTCTTCTTGCGCCTGTACTGACTTCTTTGAATGGTGGGAAACTGGAAAGCAAGCGCTGATTGTGATTTCATGCTATAGTTATTCAACATTATACTTTTGTGTGCCTGATTACTACTATCATATACAAGTCTGTCAGTTTCCTTTTCGGTTTTCCCTCAGCCAGCTCTGGTCACAGAGTTAGTAAATGGCAGATGTGACGTCACTTAGGTCCGTAGACTTAGGCTTAGTTAGGTCTGTGTTATTTCCACCACTCTCCCTCTCCCCCCACTTGGTGATTACAATTATTTATTGCAGTATATATTATTAAAACATCTCATCTTTCTGTGATGGTAGCCATTAATCAAATATTTTCTTTTAAGGGTGCTATACTAATGACACATTTTTAAAAAATCTCTTCATGCTAACATTTTGTCTGTTTCTATGCCAGTTGAACATCTACATTCTAATAACAGATTCCTGAGCTTTAAGCATAATCCTTAGACTATGTATACATGTGAATGGAAATTGTTAGTTCTCGATTAGTTTTATTTAGCCAATAAAGATTAAGAGTAGAATGAATATGTCTTAACAGTTTTCAATGCATTTCCATTACATACCAAGTTTGTTGGAGTTTCTTAAAATTTTAATTTTTTTTCTGTAGCTAGATATGACTTAGCTCTTGCATGTGATTGTTACATTGTTGACCTTTTTATACAGTTTACTTCCATATAATGGACTTCATTTTTATGCTCCTTGAACAGAAAAGAAGCTCAGAAATGTTTTTGTGGGTCTGCAAATTGCCGGGGTTACCTAGGAGGAGAGAACAGAGTTAGCATTCGAGCAGCGGGTGGAAAAATGAAGAAGGAACGCTCCCGTAAGAAGGATTCAGTAAGTGGTCTGCGTTTTCATCAGCTTTTGTGGTATATATGTATTTTAAGAAAGGCAGTAGCCTTTCTGATTGACATTTTTAAAAACTCAAAAAGTTCAGGATCAAATGAGATACAATTAGGAAAGAAGAATGGTTGTGTTTTTCTTTCTTTTGTTTTTATTTTCTGTTTTTCTATTGGGAGCTCTTACAGATAACATAACATCACCTCAAGCAGTAAAATGCCTTAGTACAAACACAGTGTTCATCTTGTCACTTTGTTAGCTGTTAGCTAATTAAATCGAATCTGCATACCAACCTTTCAATATTGGTTTGGCTTTTGTTTGGAACTCTAAACTTGAAATGTGTTCCTAAACTTCCTAAACTTTAAAATACCAGTTGAATTTTGAGAGGCAACTGGTACCTGTGAGAAAGGAATGGTCTCAAGCAGTTTTTTCATTTACTCCATTAACATAGTAGTTGACAGCATTATTTTCTACTCCATCTCATTTGAGTTACTGAGGAGAGAGAATCCTGTTGCTAAAGGAAATCTAAACTAGTACTTTTATAATTTTAAAAAAAGTTTCCCTTTTCTCTGAAGATTGTTTCACTAGAGTAGTGCTTCTCAATGTATGATCTGGGTTATCTGCCTCTCTGAGCCACCTGATAAGGGTGTAGTGAAAAATAGAAATATACTTTTAGGGTCCTCCTTTAGCTTAATGGAAGAGCTAAAGACTAATCAAATGCAGTGTCGTTGAGTAGATTGACTCATAGCAGCCCGGTAGGACAGAGTAGAACTGTCCTTACATATTCCTGAGGCTGTAAATCTTTTCTCCTATGGAGTGACTGGTTGGTTCAAACTGCTGACCTTTTGGTTAGCAGCCCAACATGGAATTCACTATGCTGTCCAAACTCAAAACACTTAGATAAGGGGCTAGGTGTGATAGCAACTCCTGTGATTGTTTTGCAGTTGAAGCATTCCTAGACTTTTCAGGAACCAGTATTAAGAATTGTAAGTGATAGCAATTTTATTGTTTTGTTGGGAAGGCATAATATAAACCTGAGGGGAAAGTATAAATTATAATGCTTCATAAGAAAGCTTATATTAATTTGAGGTCATTTCTAAAAGTAGTTTAAAGCAAATACCTATCTTCCCATTAACCAAGGTGAATAAATGATCTTTAGTCACACTTGCTGTTGAGTTAACTTTGCCCACCCCAGGCATGCGCTGCCAGAGGAGACCTGTGGTTTGTGGGGTTTCCAGGCTCTGGCCTTTCATACACACATGCCCATGTCTGTTTTCCAAGGTGCCTATGTGTAGCTTCAAACCAGCAACGTTTCTCAGAGCAATAATTGAACACTTTATCACTTACGCCATACAAGTGGCCAGTAGAAGCTATGTTTATTTCGGCTCTTTTTGTAGATGATGTTGAAAATAATACTAGTGGGAAACCTCTATGTAGTGTAACTACTTGTACTGGACACATTAACTCATTTAATTTTCACATTAATCTTATAAAAATCAGTTACTGTTTTTCCTCCTTTCCTGATGATAATAGTAAAGGCATAAATAGAAGTGAGGTGATGGAAATTCCGGTTCTTGGTCCTGGGGAGGAGACGAGCCAGTCAGGGTGCCATGTGGCAAGGATGGAAATACAACTTTGCCCTAGTTCCTAAATGCTTCTTCCCCCGCACTGTCATGATCCCAATTCTACCTTACAAGTCTAGCCAGACCAGAGGGTGTACACTGGTACAGATAGGAACTGGAAACACAGGGAATCCGGACCAGTGGTGTGAGTGGCGATACTGGGGGGAGTGTAGAGGGAGAGTGGGTTGGAAAGGGGGAACCGACTACGAGGATCTATATGTGACCTCCTCCCTTGGGGACGGACAACAGAAAAGTGGGTGAAGGGAGATGTCAGACAGGGCAAGATATGATGAAATAATAATTTATAAATTATCAAGGATTCATGAGGGAGTGGGGAGGAGGGGAATGAGGAGCTGATGCTGGGGGCTAAGTGGAGAGCAAATGTTTTGAGAATGATGAGGGCAATGAATGTACAAATGTGCTTTACACAATTGGTGTATGTATGCATTGTGGTGAGTTGTATGAGCCCCCAATAAAATGATTAAAAAACAAACGTAGCCTTAAAGATTCCCCCCAAGGAAACAAGGGGTATGACTTAGATCACATCTATTACTAAGGTATAATCTAAAGATATCCCCAAGATAATCTTGGGAGGACTTGGTTCACACCCTCTACTAAAGACCAGCACTTAATTTACCCTAATCCAACCACTAGCATAGCAGAGAATGTTCTCCAAAATGAGATTATAGTCACAGGTGTAGAGTTCAGAATTGTATTACAATCACACTAGGAATTTTGGATAGAAGCATCATATTAATTGATTACAAGTCAAGTATGCACTTAAAATCATTGAAAATTGGGGAAAAGTCCATAGTATGTCTGTTTAGGTTGAATTTTACAGTTCTTTGAATGAGGTAAATCCTTCAAACTTTAAATCCTGTTAGAAATACTGCTTTTAGTCAACATGACCCCTTATGGACGTTACTTGAGAACAATAGCTGTGTAAATTTTCCCAGATAACTAATCTACAGCAGACATCTGCCAAAACCTGGAAATCTTGAATGAAATTGTTGAAGGTTACTTTATCTCTGATAACCTTAAAGTTGGGGGTTGAGGGGAAAGGGGGAGAAATTCTTGTTCTTGTCTGTACTCTTAAATTATAGTCAGACACTGTGGAGAGCAGCCACATCTCCTCCCACCTGGGAGACAATTTAGTGGTTTTGCATTTTAAAATTAATTGAGTTATTTTTTTATATATTAGAAGTTTTAAAGAAAAATTCCTGCCATTTGTTTAATAAAGTCCATACCAAAGCAAATAGATAAACATTCTTAACAGCTTTTTCAACCTAGAGCAGTTTACCTATTTTTCTATTGGTGGGCATTTATGTTTGTAGTCTTTTTGCAATTAATGTCATATTGAGTATCTTTGCACATGCTTGAGTTTCTTTATAGTGTATCCGTGGAAGTGAAGTTGCTGGGTCATTAGTTTTGACTATCATAGTGCATTTTCCCTAAAATTTCATTAAGACAACTTTTGCTGTTAACTCTTAGTTCATATAATTATTTTTTTGCCAGAACAGCCACTAAATTGTCATTAAATATGTTGATGTAAGCTAAAATCTCTGTAAAAAGTTCCCAATAGCTGTTTACTGTTTCTGAAAACTTGCAGTGTCTTTAAAATATAATGATTTCTTGGGCAGTGTTATATCTATATCATCCTTATATTAAATGACTGTCTGCCTTCCTTATAAGAATGTTGACTGACTTATGGACAACTCTAGGAGACTAAGGCCCAGATTTTCCTTTTTGGTTCTCTTTGATTTTTTATTCTAGGAAAGGTGTGTGCATCTCAGGATAGGTCTTCATATTTTGGACTGAATTACATGTAAAATAATGTGTCAAATCATTTGGTCGATTGAAGTCCTAGGTTGCTCCAGGTATGAATTGGAAGTTACGTTGGACAAGAATGTCGTGGATGAAGCATTGCCCAGATAAAGGAGTAACCTAGAATGAATTTGTTTTTAGAATGATACAGAAAGTCATTTGCCTTTGTTTCCTACTGAAATGCCCTCTTCCGGTCTAGATTCTTAATTCTGGTTAGTTACAATTGATCAAAATTGTAGAAGGTAGCATCTCTTGTTGAATTCCCATAAGTTAGCCTCGAGAATCGTTTTTTCTGGGGGGTGGGGTGCAGGGATGCAGTGGAAATGACAAGACAGCAGCAGCTTAGAGTGCAGTTTTCAAAATACATTGTATGTTTTAATACAATATATTAATAAGTGTACTATAGTCTACATCTTCCCATTTAATCCTTGATTCGTAAACATTTCTTATACCTTATTTTCATGATTGTATTTATTTATTGCTGATTTCCTTTTAAAACGATATGCTCTTCCAAGGCAGGTGTTTTCCTTGTTTGGGCGTATCATACAACTAGGTGTCTAATTAAGGATTTACTTGATGAAAGTGTTATAGATTCCTGCTATGCTTGGATGTACACTACAGCTAGAAATAGACTATGTGTATATACTTGGTTGACTAGAGAAACAAATTTATAGACACTCGTGTATAAATTAAAGAGCTTTAAGAAAACATCCCAGTCCAGGTCAAGTCCATAAATCTGATATTAGCCCATATGTCCGATACCAGTGTATAAATTCCTCTTCAGGCACACACAACACTTATGGTGATGCCAGATGCAGGAAGATGATAGGCCAGTGGGTGGAAAGTCTTGTGAATCCAGTGGAAGCATCTCAGCGCTGGCGTGTGGGTCTACATGTGACTCCTTCAGCTCCAGGCTCTAGTGCCGCTTCATGTGTCTTCCCAACAGGAATGTCTTTCAGGGAGTGAGTGTGTGTCCTGCCTCCAGCAAGCTACTTATCTCCTTAATGCCACCAAAAGAGGTCATGAAACCGTGACCTGATTGACAGGTTAAACCCCACCCCAAGTCTCAAATTGACAACAGGCTATGTGACTACCACAGACCAAAACTTCCCTCTGTCTTAGTTTGAATTTGTGAAAACTCAAATCAGTAACTTATATAATAGTGTGAATAGCTTTATAAAAAAGAGAGGAAACATTTGCTTTTAACATACCAAAGAAATACTAGAATCCAGAATATATAAACTCAAAACTCTCTGGAGTCGAGCCAATGTCAACTCTTGGTGACCCTGTAGCAGCGGTTCTCAACTTGTGGGTCACGACTCCTTTGGGGGTCAAATGACCCTTTCACAGGGGTTGCCTAAGACCATTAGATAACACATATTTCCGATGGTCTTAAGGAACCAAAACACCACTCCTCTATCTGTCTCCAGGTGGGTCCGTTTGTCATTAGAAATAAATATTTCACAATATATAATTACATATTGTTTGTGTGATTTAATTATGTTCAATTTTGTTCAATTTATAACCAAGAAAATCCTGCATATCAGATATTTACATGACAGTTCATAACAGTAACAAAATTAGAGTTATGGAGTAGCAAAGAAAATAATTTTATGGTTGGAGGTCGCCACAACATGTGAGGAACTGTATGAAAAGGTCGTGGCATTAAGAAGGTTGAGAACCACTGCCCTGTAGGATAGGCTAGAACTGCCCCGAGACCCTTTCTCCCTCGGAGCCGCTTGCAGTTTTGAACTGCTTATCTGTGGTTAGCAGTCCAACTTAGAACCACTGTGTTACCAGGGCACCTTAATCAGAATGTATACAGGTCTTTTGTTAGTAGTTAGTCAGCACCAGAGAAAAAGAAACCACCTCCACAGAACAGAAGCTTTACATATGCAAGTAGCCAGTGCATCTGTGGAAGGGTGTTCAACCTCAGTGGTCCTCCGGGGAGTGCAGATTTAAATTACAGTGAGACTTGTGAGAGGCAGAGCTCCTTGACGTGTACAGGTCTCACAGGGTTTTAGCCTTTGGTAGGGTGCTGCCTAAGTTGAATGTGCCTTTGAGCCTTGAAATACATGGACTTCAACTGTGCATATCTACTTAAATGGATTGTGGTGCATACAATGGATCCATATATTTCTCTTCTGGAATTCGCCTTTTTTCCACATTTGAAAGATTAATCAATGTTGTTGCATTTGACTATACTTCCTTTCACTGTAGTATAATATTCTATTGTATGTATACGCTATTTTATGCTAACCAATCCACAGACTGGTTACTGGCAGATTTTTAATTTTTGGTTTTATGAATGTTGCTTTAAAGCACACTTTTAGGGAATCGCCAGATACACCTAAGAGAAAGTATTTTTGTAGAAATAGATTTGAAATGTTTTGATATTTCAAGATCTACTTTTTACAAGTACTTTCATCTAATATTTGTTTGATTGTCCGTCTTAAAGGTAGATTTTTCAGTTTTGGTTCTTTGCAGTATGTTTAGAATTTAATATTGTGCTTGATGTGTAGTACCAGTATATGCTTGGTAGATAGTCAAAGAGTGACAATTTCATATTGATTACACCAATTTATACTTCCATTGACTATAGATCTTTCTTTTGATTTATATATGTACCTTGACTTGATTTGCAGACTTACTACTTTCTTCATCTAATGAATGTGACATGATTTTTATTTTTTAGGTTTTTTATGTGATATGATTTTTAACTGTGGTCTTTTTTATATTTTCTCATTTACTGGTGAGGTTGTGCCCCTTTTCAGGGTGTTTGATTCTTAAGTTAGCATTATTTTATAACTTGATCATTTTCTTTGCCATGGTAGGTGGATGGAGAGCTAGAAGCTCTGATGGAAAATGGTGAAGGTCTTTCAGATAAAAACCAGGTGCTCAGCTTATCCCGCTTAATGGTTAGAATTGAAACTTTGGAGCAGAAACTTACCTGTCTTGAGCTCATACAGGTAAACATTTTAATATTAATTTACTTCTGAATTTGGAGTGGGGCTTTTAGACTATAATCTTGAATGTTAATGGGGTATTAATCTGATAAAAAAGGCTTACCAGTTATTCCATTTTAAAAACGAGTAGTGAGTTTTGCATGACCTTCAAAGCTTGTACACTTAAAAATGGCTGAAGAATTTCACGTCATTTCATCTAATGGTAGACCTGGCTTGGTCGTTCTGACTAGCAAAAAAAGGGGGGCGTGTTTTTTGGTACTATTCATAGCCCTTGATAATAGCATATTTTTCACCTTGGGTTTACTAGTGTTTTTTGTATCACATGATTTCAAAGGAACTTTTACAGTAATTTTATTTACTCCAGTTTATTAAGAGAAAATAAAAGCCCTTTGAACAGGCTTGTGAATGTGAGAGGGAAAAATCTCTTAAAGACATTCATATGATATAAACAGTTTCAGCAAAACTGTAAATGTAATGTTTTATTATTTTATGTGGTTGGGTTAAGTGATACGGAGTTTCTAGGTTTTGTTGTGAATATGAATGAACTCTTAGTTCTATCTGCAACCCCTCTGTAACAACAGTCTATCTGCTATTGTCCCTTTCTTGACATCCTACATCATGCCTGCCTGCCCACCTTCCCTCATGGAAGAACACACACTCTCAGTCCTGCCTGAAATCCTTTCTGGAACGTCATGGCCTGTCTTTGCTATGGATCTGGATGGCAGAGCTTGGTGATGGCCGGGAAAGTAACCAAAAGCTTCAGGAAGAGGTCAGTCCACACCTGCTTGTTTCTTAAGATTATAAGACCTCTATGTGATTGTTTAAGCGGGGATAAGTGATAATATTGATGATTATGAATTTAAGTGTATTTACCACTGGTATTAAATGACTAATTCAATTCATCATTCCTTTAACTTTTTGTTAGATGTAAGTGTGCCCATGGTTTCACCCTAAAGTCTTTAAAGGTTAGTAGTTCAAGGCAAGCAACAAGATTGAGTTATAATGACATTTCATAGTTCAAGGAAGGATCCATTTAATCCTTTTCAAAAAACGAGAAACCAAAAACTGGTGAGGCACTTTTAGAGGTCAAGAGCAAGAGCATTTTGAGTATTTTTTTCTTTTTCATTATGAGTATTAAATAAGTGTTTCAAAGGAGTCAGAGGAAATGTTCCTTGGCAACATTGTTAGTGGAGTTGGTATGTTTTTGCCTAAACATTTTTTCTAAACTTGGTCTATGTGTAGCTTTTCATCACAATTTAAATATAATCTCAAAGTCATTTAAAATAGCACTTTGGGGAAATAATAATAATAATATGTAAGTGATCAAGGATTCATGAGAGTCGGGGAGGGGGGCTCAAGTAGAAAGAAATCTTTTGGAAGTGATGATAGCAATATATATATACAAATATCTTCGATACAGTTGGTGTATGGGTTGTTATAAGAGCTGTAAGAGCCCCCAATAAAATGATTTAAAAAATAATAATAAAAGAGCACTTTGGGAAACGATTTGGGAGTGGGCCAGTAAGTAAGTATTCTTTGCCTCGTTTTTCTGGAGATTTTTTCAATAAGAAGCTGGTGACACCCTGGAGTTTGATAGAACTATAGTAGGAAATAACTGTGGGAAAATTCTTGGATTTCAGAGGAGGTGCCTAGGTGAAGAGAGTCTTACCTTTATTAGACTGCTATTTATCAATGACTAAAGAGGTGGTATCTGCATTTTGTGTTTGTGGGAAGTATCATTTAAACATATAATGTTGCATAATTACAAGCACACATGCCCACACATATATAAAGTCTTATATTTTTTAATCAGCTTTTATTCTTACTGGTCAGTCTTGAAGTAATTTTCCTTCCTTCTAAAGGAAAATGACATGATATTTAAATCCTGTGTACAGAGACTAAGGTCTTAGTTAATAAGCCCCTAGCCCAATATATTACTTTTGCAGAAACAACCCAGAGGTTTGAAAAGTCAGCTGTAACAAAATGATCTCATTTTTTTGTTGTTATTGTGTTTAATTAGATTATAAAGACTTTGGAACACTTGCCCATTCCTACTAAAAATATGTTGGAAGAAAGCAAAGTCCTTCCAATCATTCAACGTTGGTCTCAGACCAAGACTGCTGTTCCACAATTGAGTGAAGGAGATGGCTACTCTAGTGAGAACACATCACGAGCTCACACACCACTCAACACCCCTGATCCTTCTACCAAGCTGAGTACAGAAGCTGACACAGACACCCCCAAGAAGCTTATGTTTCGTAGACTTAAAATTATAAGTGAAAATAGCATGGACAGTGCGATTTCTGATGCTGCTAGTGAACTAGAAGGCAAAGATGGCAAGGAGGATCTTGATCAATTAGAACATGTCCCTGTTGAGGAAGAAGACGAATTGCAGGCACAACAGCCAATCACACAACAGCTGTCTGAACCCAAAGGTGATGGTGAAGCTGCAGTGGAGGTCAGTAAGCTACCTGTGTCTGAGCCGGAAGCTGACACAGAAATAGAGCCAAAAGAGAGCAATGGCACAAAGCCAGAAGAACCTATTGTTGAGGAAACACCATCCCAAGATGAAGAAGAAGGTGTGTCTGATGTGGAAAGTGAAAGGAGCCAAGAACAGACAGATAAAACAGTAGATATAAGTGATTTGGCTACCAAGCTCCTGGACAGTTGGAAAGACCTAAAGGTAAGAACAATTTTGGTTTCTTTTAACATGAATTATTCAGGTTTAGAATGCCACAGCCTAAGGCAAACTACCTACTTCTCTACTATGTGTATTTCTGAAAAGTCTAATATAATTTCTGCTAACTGTAAACATTTCAAACACCCGTTAAGCCTTGACAAGAGAGAGTCATCTTAGCCAAACTAATTCACAAATTAATCTTTTTCCTTCAATTAGAAAGTTTTGTTCAAAGTCCTGTATGTAATAGATTTATGATTCTATTTTATGATGGGAATGAGAATAATTAACAGCAAGATGAACATTTGAACCTCTTGTGCTCCCAGTTGTACAAAGCTCATTCCCCTAAACACTTGAGCTTTTACTCAATTGGTATTGGCCGTACACTGAACAAATTAAGTCGTTATGGCTTGTACAGTGTGCTTTCTAGTATTCCTGATTTTTGTTGTATTGAGAGCCTTGTTAAGTGCAGTCTAGTTTCAACTGTGGCTTCCCTATTTGCTCTTAGGCATGCTCCTCTTTCTTGCTACTTGTAGTTCAACATAACTCAGACTTGTTACACTTTATGAAATCTTATTTTTTTAAACTATAAAAGGAAGGATTCATATTAAATCTACTTGCAGTAACAATTTTTAAACTTCTGGGTTCAAAACTGTAGTTAATTGGGAGATGCTGAAACAATCACTTGGTGGAAGTTTATTTAATCTAGAGTCACCTTTGCACAAGGGCACCAGAGTCCCTGGAAGAAAGCCCTTGTGTTTGGAGGGTGCTTGCAAGAGCCTGAACTATGACTTGTGGCTCAGTAAGGAAGGTGCAGCTGGGCATAACTACACAGGTGGACATGGAAAAGGCTTTAAAGTTTTTCCTTAGAAAAGTCTCTGGTTCAATATACATTAAAAAATTTGCTAAGATATAATTATTCATAATCTTTTAAAAACCTGTGTTTTTAGTTTAGGTATCTAATTTTAACATAATTTGTTTCTGTATTTGTACTGGTTTGAATTACTCTGAGGTAGTTTAAGTCAATCAGATATAACTGCAATGATCTAAGCTTGCATTCTACTCTGGACATACAGTTTGATACTCATAAAGTTACTCCCTTTCTTACCCCCCCACACCTATCTGAAAGGTCAAAGCAGTTTCACAGTATGATGTAGCTTGATGATTCTTTTTACTTGAAGTGTAAAATTTTATTTGTACTTATAAAATGTCTTTCTTTACCATCGTATTTTGAATATATCCTGATTCTTAGTGTCAAGGGAGCTAAAATACTTTTTTCTTCTACAAACTTTAGTGTGCTCTGGAATTATAACCCATATAGAATTGCATTCCTGAGAAATACCTTTTATTTGACTTTAAACATTGATGGTTTACTATATATCGGTGCTGGGTTCTTAATTCATCTATCATCCTAGTTAACATTTACAATGACTGATTTCAAAACTCTGATTATGGTTGAAATGTATTAAAAGTTAGAGATAGCATTTAATCCGAAGTCTGAAACCTGGAACCCATAGTTTAATTATATTTTAGATAGAAACACTGATCTGATTTAATCACATATATCGGCGTTGAAAGACTTAACTACTTCTGTCTGAATTTCACCTGTGAGTTCAAGTGACTGAAAAGAAAATGCTATTCAGCAAACCTTTATTAAGCATCTGCTACCAACCACTTTGCTAGTTGCTGGCCTATAAATTCTAAGATCACTAAAAATGTCTTGATCTAAGATTGTGGTTCTGTTAAACATTTCATATCTCCCTTACTTTGGGCCATTGTGATATTGGTAGGTGTGGGCCTACTTGGCCTTTCTACTGTAGTGAAGAACCTGGAAGGAGTTGTTTCAGATTTCGTAATCTTGATTTTGTTGTGAAGCATACTATAGGGATCATCAGTAAATGAAAAAGGGTGGGAGGGAAGGGTAAAGCTTCATGAATTACTCTTTGTCCTCCCAGATCTGGTGATGATCTCCCTTGTAACTCGAACCATTTCCATCTAGCTTCTCAGGGCAGCAAGGAGCTTGTTAACATCACCAGCTGACCATGTGTCTCCTTTTCTCAACTCCATTTTCAACTTCGTGCTGAAGAAACACAAGAACCTAGCGTGCATTCTGTGAAGAAACAGGAAGATGGTTGGGAAGCTGGATGATGCATGAAAAAATATGATAGGTGAAAAGAGGACAGAGGTGGTTAACTCACTGGCGCCGGCGTTATTTTGGTACGTCCATTGCCGACAATGGATGTTCTTCCGGGAAAATCCCGACTTCTGGCGAGAAAGGATTAAGTGAGCTATTTTTTCTATACCTATATACACAGGACCACTGCCTTGGCTTTACAAGGCTTACATAGTTTAACTTCTAAAGTAGACATCAACAATAAACATCACCTAGCACATTGCTTCACGTGATCATATATTCATATTCACTTGTAGACTTGGCAACACTTTCAGCAGGTGAATGTGCATATATTTCTGTTTGCAAAGGGAATTATTGCACATCACCTTTCATGCTGAATATACCTCAGGATTCACAAGACAAAATATTGGGTTACAAATGGGAATTAATGATAACTTGACCAGGAAATCTTCATTCATTTGGATCATGAGAAGAGGAGGTAAGGTTTCCACGAAGTTGGCAGTGTTAATTGCAGTTAAATACCAAGGGGTTGTTATGGTTAGTTATTCTCGAGCCTCCTTGGTGAACAAAGGATGTGCATCTCTGCTTATCATGAAGTCTTGGGTCGTTTCCATGTGACCTAGGTTAGATGATTTAAGGACAGTATTCTGTATGCATGGTAAGCTCTACTCTTCTCAACAGTGGCTACTCTTCTTCTCTTGTTTCATCTTTATCTCAAGACATTATCTTTAATTCAGCATATGATTTGTTTAGTAGAAAGTTAAGGATTAAACTATGGAAGATTGACATAAAGCATAATGCATATTCAACCGAGGAGTTTTGAATCACTCCTTAGCATTTTAATTCTTCACTAAATCTACTGTGGGTAGCTTGAGTGAACTGACTTGATGGCAGCGTGTGAGTGAGTAAATCTGTGCAGCAGATGGAATTAGGTGTCATGGATTTTTATGATAACTTAAAAAATCCACAATGGAGTAATAGATTATTATTCTCTATCTATAGGATCAGTATGATTTGCCCTTTTTTAAAATCGGAATTGCTCCCAAAGATTGTTCGTTTAATAGGACATTGAGGTTTTCTGATTTAAAAAAATAACTATTGTACTTGATAAAGGCAAAAAATGTCTTATAACTTATTAGCATTTCATTTCATTATTATTGAATAAATACTTTAATTCAGAGGCAAGTTTTTGTAAAGTTATTTTGGGACACAATTGTGCTTGTCATTGACATATTATTTGGCAACCTTTGCATTTCAACAGCAAAGTTGAGTAGCAACAGACCACAGAACCCAAAGTATCTGCTATCTTGTTCTTTACAGAAAAATTTGCCAACCCCTGGTCTAAAAGATAAAGTACAGAATCCAGCAACTCTAAACATTCTGGTTTTGACCCTTAATTCTTATGGGTGAGCTCTTAATTCTCTCTCTAAAGACATGATGATTATGTTTCCATTGACCAGAAGTTAGTTTTTTAGAAGAAGCCTTGACTCTATTAGGAAAAATTTCTTTCACAGTAGGTTTATGGGCTGTGTCATTTTGATGCATTTGGATTTCCTCATTGAAATTTTCAGAAGCCATTTACATTTACCTTTTACCATTTATGCTGACTTAATCCATTTAATAAGACAAATATTCTTTCAAATTCATTTTCTTCTAAGCCTTGTAATCTTGAAATTCTCAGTGGCATAATGATCTCTATGGATATGCGTTAATTTGACACAAATGTAAATTGAATATTAAGTAAATATGTTTCATTCATGAAAGCATTATTTTGGTAATATAAACTTAGAAAGTAAACAACAAATGTAAAGATAAATAATGCAAGCGAAGATTGTCATATTGACTGACCCCAAGCAACCCTTAAAGTACATCAAGCCCAATATCTCAAATGTTATATAATGTTAAATATTATAAATTTTACATAAATATATAGTATCACATAGTTTCATTTATAAGTTAATAGGGTAGAATTACCTTTTTAAATAAAATAATTTTTTGATGAGGTTTTGTTTATGTGTAAATTTACACATGTCCATAGAGATGGGTGTATAAGAAATGTCCCATAAACCTAGTGTTAGTGTATAAGACCATCTGAGGAGTAGCAGAGTATATGTGTTGATGGAATTACTAAAGTATAAGACGCCTTTAAGGAATGGCAGGCTTTGCTCATAATCCTGATCAAGTCAGTACAAACTTAGGGTGTGTGTAGTGTGTGTGTGTGTGTGTGTGTGTGTGTAAATAATCACATGCCTACATAAAATTTCCTGCTGCATGGTTGGTTTTTTTTACTTTTCATTTTAGAGTAATTTTGACTTAAAAGAAATAGCAAGAACATACTTTTGAAAAAGTTCTGTATGCCCTCCATCGAGTTCCCTAATTAATTAAGATATACCTTACCCTGTTTGCATTCTCATTTTCTCTTGAATTCTGAAGAGTGAGTTACAGATCGGATGTCCCCTTTCCCCTAAAATTTTTAATGCACATTTTTCAACAGCAAAGATAATTTTAATATGTAATTTTGCAATAGACTTTTCAAAATCAACACATTACAGTGACCTGATACTATTTTCTAATGAACAGCTCTTATTCAAATTTTGCTGGTTGTGTATACAAAGGTAATTCAAAATGTTTATGAGAAAATTGCATGGTCTTTTAATTTTATTTTCCACAAAGTTTTTGAAGCACCCGCTTACAATATCCTTTATAACAAAAAAGGGAAATTTTTTTCTGGTCCAAAATCTACTCTCAGATAAAGCTGTACATTGAGTCTGTTTCTTCCCAATTTTTAAATCTCAAACGGTTTCTTAGTCTTTCTTTGAACTTCACATTTTTGAAAAGCATAGGCTAATTAGTTATTTTGTAGGTTGTGCTG